ATACTCATATAGTGTCGCTTTAAGAGCATTTTAATGTAAAAAAAGTCTCTTACGACTACAATTTTAATTACCTCGTCTCTTAAGCTGTTTTTGATTGTCATCGAAATGTCAAAGCAATTAATTTATGCGGAAGTACATTAAATTTAATTGTTTTTTAAAAAATTTTTAAAAAACCGCAATTATAACGACTAGAAAGTTTTTTTTAATTAGTGGTGTTTTTGTTATTGATTTAATAAAAAACATTTTTTAAACATGCGTAAATGTTGCTACATCGACTATCTTATAGCCTGACTCGCAACAGAGTGCTGCTACATCGACTGACAAATAGCCTGACTCGCAACGGAGTGCTGCTACATCGACTGACAAATAGCCTGACTCGCAACGGAGTGCTGCTACATCGACTGACAAATAGCCTGACTCGCAAGTGAATGCTGCTACATCGACTGACAAATAGCCTGACTCGCAAGGGAGTGCTGCTACAACGACTGACAAATAGCCTGACTCGCAAGAGAGTGCTGCTACATCGACTGAGGGTTTGGTTTGGCCAGGCAGTCTATCAATTAAAAAAAAAAATTTAATTTTTAAAACTTTTTCTAGTCTGGTTTATTAACGCGCTCTTTAAAACTACAGTTTATGGGAAATATTTTTTGATGCTACGCAAGAGACATGCAAGACTATATATATATATATATACATATATACATATATATATATATATATATATATATATATATATATATATATATATATATATATATATATATATATATATATATATATATATGTATATATATATATATATATATATATATATATATATATATATATATATATATATATATATATATATATATATATATATATATATATATATATATACATATATATAAGTTGATTTTAATAGAAAGGCAGCGTATAACTATTTTTAAATATATTTTGATGTAAAAATGTATATTAGCGATATTTTGCTGACCTATTGTGGTCAGCGTCATCAGGTAATAATAAACGTTACAAAATAACATAAAACAAACCGTTTAAAAAGAAGACATTAAAAAGCGTCAAATATAAAAACCAATTAAGGTGGTACTA